TCGCCGCTGTCATCGTTGTTCCCTTTCTCATCCTCGAGGCTATCGCTGCGATGGTAGGTGGCCTCCAGCTCGTCATCATCGATTTCGATCGGTTCGTGACCCACTGTATTGGGCTTCGGTTGCTGGGACGTTGTCGCGTTTTCATTGCTGGCGTTACGCTGAAAAAACTTGAGCTGGTGCACCTTCTCGTTCAGTTTGGCCAGGGTCTTTTCCAGCTGGCTTCCCACGAGCAGCCCGCCCAGAACTCCCGATGCACCAGCAGCTGCAGCACCAGTAGCACTACCTTCCGGTTTGGTTTCCAACTCGTTGGTTTCCTTGGCACCCTTGAAGCTTTTACGCCAGCGCTGCTGCAGTTGCTCCGTGGATGCAAAACGACTGAGACGAGCCCTCAGGTTTGCAGTGGAGCTTCTGGCAGGTGCATCCTTCGTTTTTTGACCCTCCGGCGCTGCCTCCTCCCCCTGATCCTCTTCGTCTGAATCTGGAGCTGCGGCCTTGGGCTTAATCTTGCTCGGTCGCTTGATGGACTTTCTGAGTCTCTTGATGTTCTGCCTTATGCTCAGCTTGCTGCTGTCATTGTTTTCGTCAGTATTTTCCCCAGTTTTTGTAGCCTCCTCTTTGCTCTTGGAAAATTGGGGAAGATTGGGCAGACTGGGTAGATGGGGCAGCTTGTTGAGCAATTGCTTATAGCTACTGGGACGTGGTGGAGTTGGATTAGCTCGCGGAGACTCGTCCACCGCCTCCCCATAGCCGGCTGCCTGCTGCTGCTCCTCCATATCCAGTGGTGGCTTCCTGACCTTGGCGAACCTGGTGGCAGCTATACCGGGTTTTCGGCGACTTGGTAATGGTGGTGTGGCCTCCATGCCGCTCTCATCCGTTTCGTGGCTCATCTTGCCCCTCTCGAATTGCTCGTGCTCCACATAGTCGTCGTCGAAAGTGTTTTGTCGAGTGCCCGCCAATGTTTTGATCTTGATGTCATAGTTCTCGGCTATCTCGCGATCCCTGCGCTCCCTGGCCAGCTTCTCTGATTTCAATTCCCGCTCGTACTGCTCCACGTAGCGATCCACTTCGATGTTGTCCCTTCGCACCGTCGTTTGCTTGGCAAAGATGTGCTTGATCCTCAGCTCGCTGAGACTCTTGTAGCCCCTCTGCAGGCGTTGGGTCAACGTGGTGTGTGCATTCCCACTGGGCGAGCTGTCATCCGCAACAACTGGAATTTTAATCGGACTAATGGGTCGCGAAGCTCTTTCCCCGCTGCCAGGCGCATAGTAATCGTCATCCAGACTACCAGCACTTCGGTACGTTCCCGGCTGTGATCGTCCCAGATTGGCCCGGATCTCCTCCTGCTCACCCTCGTACATCAGCGAACTGATGGTAGAGATTCTCTGGGGCGTTCTATTGATGAACTGCTGTGATTGGGCTGCCAACTGGAGGTGCGATTGCTGCGGTGCGGTAGCTCCTGCGCCATCTTTCGAGGATCCACCTGCTGTTCCTCCAGCTGCATTTGATCCGCTCTTGGAGCTGCGAAATATCTTGCGACCACGCAACTTGGGCAGCGATTTGGGCAACTTCAGTTGGGGCAATTTGGCTATGGAAAACCAAATACAAGGAAATCAATGCCATTATATAAAGATAAGGAATCTAGATTATGTTGAGGAGTTTGTATCATAATTAACAAACTTGATCAAGTGGTACCTTGTATTGATTTTTCCACAGGGACCTTGATGTATAAATGAGGAATTCCTCAAAACCGTCCTACACTCACCTTTCAAACTGTCCACATCGATGCGTTGGCATAGATTTCGAAAATCCATAGAGGATCCAATGCGATCCGTATTCCTACTGCGATTTGCCTCCAAATCGGAGCTGCGTGGCTCCAACTGCGATTCCGATTGCACCTGATGGATGTGATGATGATGATAGTGTTGGAACTGCTGCTGCTGGTGGCTCATTGCACCACATCCACGATATATCCACTATTCACTAAGCACTAGATCAGCAACGCGCTTGGGGACCTAAACCAAAACCGATACGGAAACTGAAACAGCAACAGAAACTGAACGGAATTCGTGGGACGTCCGATGCAGTTCAGCATTTTAGTCTGTTTGAAGAGGCTCCGGCGGAGAATAGTGCAGAAAAATACGAACTATGGCTGCGGCACTGGCACCTGTCAATGGAAAATCGCTAATTCAATTAGCACACGGGGGATTTTCCAACCCTTTGTTTTGGTCAAAATAGGGGGTATCTTTTGGGTGTTTCACATGAAACCAAAATCGTGCCAATAAAAACCCCACAAGGATTGAAAACCACAGTTAGATAGATTAGATAGAGATGTAATCATTGTGCAGCATATGTTTTTCACCTAATTTCATTTTGGAAATAGTCTTTGATTGGTCATACTTAAATGTACTTGTACTTTGCAATGCGTTATTGGAATTAATGGGTATTTCGCTTACGACTTACACTGTCGTTTTAACTTGTTTTCCATCTCCGTTTGAACTATTTTTATGCTAACTGCCCTGGCACATTTTCTAACCAGGTCTATGACGTTACCTCGCATAGCCCCCAATGTGTCCATAGCTATGCAAATATATGTACATACATATATACATATTGATTCATTGACGGTTGTGCGTCTGGTTTTCTGGTTCGCGGTTGCACTTCATTTACCAATTGTCACAGTTCTCTTGGCCACTTCCTCCGCGTTTGTTTTCACTGTCCCAAGGCAAATTTTGCCGCGAAAGTAATAAATTCGCAATAATCGATTCTCGTTTCGTCTGCGTTTGTTTTTCGTCACTGTTTTTCTTCATTGTGTTATATTTTAGCTTTTTGTTTGCTTTTGTGCGGTTAATGATTCGAAAAGAAAAAAAGCTTTTGATATCGAAGTTGTGGGGTCTCCATGGTCAAAATCAAAAGGCGTTACAACCATAAATGCAAATCATCTTTGCCAATATATATTATTTTTATATAGTACTTTTCAAAAAATACGTTAGTTATTCTTTCATCTCTATGATTATTTTTAGTGAAGTTATGATTAAAATGCCCATCAAAAATATTTGAATTTTTGCCAAAATCAATTTTTTGAATTTTGGTCATAAAATAATCTGTTTTTTGGCTACAACTTCAAAAATAATAATCTAAATATGGAATGTTATACCTCGTTGAGCTCGTAATTAAATTTCCAATTGAACTGCGTTCAAAAATAGGAAGGCTAATTTTTCGCCATTTTTTTCAAATTTTTATGAAAAATGCAGAAATTTACCAAAAAATTAATTTTCCTAAATCCGTCAAAAATTGATAGGGATCGTTAGTATTGGTAATTAGCTGCTCAAAACAGTTATTCTTTGATCTTTACGATAATTTTTGACCAAGTTATGATTAAAATGCCCATTTAATATATTTCCATTTTTGCCAAAATCCATTTTATCGAATTTCGGTCGTAAAATAATCAGTTTTTTTGCCATAACTTTAAAAATAATTGTCTGAATACGGAATGTTATACCTTGTCGAGCTCGTAATTTAATTTCCAATTGAACTGCGTTCAAAAATAGGAAGGCTAATTTTTCGCCATTTTTTTCAAATTTTTATGATGTTACCCCTTAAAAAAAATGCAGAAATTTACCAAAAAATTAATTTTCCTAAATCCGTCAAAAATTGATAGGGATCGTTAGTATTGGTAATTAGCTGCTCAAAACAGTTATTCTTTCATCTTTACGATCATTTTTGACCAAGTTATGATTAAAATGCCCATTTAATATATTTCCATTTTTGCCAAAATCCATTTTATCGAATTTCGGTCGTAAAATAATCAGTTTTTTTGCCATAACTTTAAAAATAATTGTCTGAATACGGAATGTTATACCTTGTCGAGCTCGTAATTTAATTTCCAATTGAACTGCGTTCAAAAATAGGAAGGCTAATTTTTCGCCATTTTTTTCAAATTTTTATGATGTTACCCCTTAAAAAAAATGCAGAAATTTACCAAAAAATTAATTTTCCTAAATCCGTCAAAAATTGATAGGGATCGTTAGTATTGGTAATTAGCTGCTCAAAACAGTTATTCTTTCATCTTTACGATCATTTTTGACCAAGTTATGATTAAAATGCCCATTTAATATATTTCCATTTTTGCCAAAATCCATTTTATCGAATTTCGGTTGTAAAATAATCAGTTTTTTTGCCATAACTTTAAAAATAATTGTCTGAATACGGAATGTTATACCTTGTCGGGCTCGTAATTTAATTTCCAATTGAACTGCGTTCAAAAATAGGAAGGCTAATTTTTCGCCATTTTTTTCAAATTTTTATGATGTTACCCCTTAAAAAAATGCAGAAATTTACCAAAAAATTAATTTTCCTAAATCCGTCAAAAATTGATAGGGATCGTTAGTATTGGTAATTAGCTGCTCAAAACAGTTATTCTTTCATCTTTACGATCATTTTTGACCAAGTTATGATTAAAATGCCCATTTAATATATTTCCATTTTTGCCAAAATCCATTTTATCGAATTTCGGTCGTAAAATAATCAGTTTTTTTGCCATAACTTTTAAAATAATTGTCTGAATACGGAATGTTATACCTCGTCGAGCTCGTAATTAAATTTCCAATTGAACTGCGTTCAAAAATAGGAAGGCTAATTTTTTTAAATTTTTTGCAAATTTTTGTGATGTTACCCCTTAAAAAAAAAAAAAATTGACCGAAAAATTAATTTCCCTAAATCCGTCAAAAAGTGATAGGGATCGTTAGCATTAGTAATTAGCTGCTCAAAACAGGTTTTAAAAAGTATAAAATATCAAATTTTTTCGTATAAGTTGTTATCTTTAAGAATTCCGTACTCTTGGAAGTGAGCGTATAACATTAGTTGGGGAAATTCGCGCGAACAAAGTTGAGTTTCTGATGAGACATCTGGTAGTCATTGGGCGAACACTTTTCTCGTTGAAATCAAGTTAAATAATCGCATTACTCACGGCTCTTTTTCCACTCTTTCCACTTTCTTTGCAGACATGAGACGTGCTATATGAGCGTATAGCGCCCAAAACCACCCACTTGGTAACGCCATCTCGTCGCACCCACACACTCGTCGCGTAGCGTCGCGATTTTCGCAATTTTTGCAATTGAAAAGTGTAAAGTTCTAGACACCATTATCAGCGTTCTCATAATCTCATTTTTGCAATGCAGCAGCAGAAAGTGATAGAAGCTCGGCTCGCATGCAATTTTCATTAGTGTGAAAATTGTTTGATATTTAAGAGGCAAGCGAGGAATAAACAGAATCAACAGCAGCAGACACACACATTCCAAGCCAAATTAATAATAGAAAAAAGAAACCAAAAAACCAATAAAAGTTTAAAACAAAACGACACACACTCGAGGGGCGAGCGGAGAGCCAAACGACCAAAATGTGGCGGCAGTCAACGATACTGGCCGCGTTACTAGTGGCTCTTTTGTGTGCGGGCAGTGCAGAAAGCAAAGGTAAGCTATACAAACCAGTATATATATTTAAAAGCACTTATATTTAGAAAAAATTCCATCTATACGAGTATTAGTAATTGATAACTCACTTGGGCATCAAATATATGTGTATTTAGTGCAATTTATAGAATTGCTTTTAAATGTAGATCACAGATCACTTGAGATTTATACCAAAACCTAATGCCTCGTATTCCCCAAGCGTGTCCCAAAAATTAGTCAGTGCTATAAATACCCAAAGCATTCAATGGGGGAAATCTTCAATTTATGCGATCAATTAGTAAGCTGGAACCCAATGCTCATCGATCTTCCCTCCCCCGAATTCTTCCAGGCAATCGCCCACCGAGAATCACCAAACAACCGACACCCGGAGAACTGCTCTTCAAAGTAGCGCAACAGAATAAGGAAAGTGACAATCCATTCATAATCGAGTGCGAAGCCGATGGACAACCCGAACCAGAGTAAGTCAACTGAAGATCTGATATATCCTCAAAATGAAACGCTCAGCAGGGTTCCAAAGGGAAAAGAGCAGAGATCTTGTGGAATTAGCTCGTATAGTTCTATTAGATATCTTTAAAATATCTGCCCGTTTGTCTATATATTTAGGTAGCCTGCCCTCTATTTTAATTCACATAAATCAAATTTAAGCAGTCGCGTCTACAAAGTTTCCTATATTCAAAGAGTGCGTGTAAGAAATCGCATTTTTGTTTATTTATTTCAGCCTTGTTTTTCTAGACGAGTTGTTTTTTACGAAATATTTCGCGTCGTCACGAGTATTTTTAACTCATTTGAGAAACAGCAGGAAGCACATTTTCAGGCAACTTGATATAGTTTGCCCTAAAAAACAGTTTTGATGTCCAAAAGACCGAAACTAATTGATGGAAACTCGCATAAACATGGAAAATAAAACATAGTTTATGTTATACTGCTGGGTTATGATTTAGCTAAAGTTTTAATAGATTTGTTTTATTATGGCTGTTAAGTTGCATAAATGAAATCACCAAATAACACTGAAATCTAAAATCATCTGCTCACATCGCATTTTATAGGGTATTAAATACTCCGTATATCAAACATACGGCTTTGTTCTTGTGGTTGCGCTATTTTTGTCACCGAAATGTCCGAAAATACATGTTTCTAAATGTGTTTAGAAGTTTAATTTGGCTCCCCTCTCATTTTACTTGTTATTTTCGTTGGGGAAGTGAAGTGATTTTTGTTACTCTGAGTAATACACATAGACCTGCTCCATAAATACAATTTGAACCTGTTCCCTAAACACGTTTCGTTTCGGTTGTTTTATTCATATTCAGCTTGGATTGGATCACATTGCTTTTCTAGTAGAGCATGTACTTGGTGACCATTGCAGTGGAATTGAGTCATTCCCTTGAAAATGTGGAATTAGAAGTTAGCATTTTTGTGGACAAAGGGCAAAAAGTGGCTGATGATGATGACTACCATGATGATGGCATGACCTCATTGCCCGCGAACTGCGTTGGTGGAAAAGACAAGCAGCATGCCATCGAGAAATTCCATAGTGGCTGTAAAATAGGATTGTGGTGTAAAATAGTTTGTTCCTCATTTGCATTTCGACAATCCAAAATGAAAAGAACATCCTCTTGTTGGCAAATGTGCACTTCATTTGCCGTAATTAATTTATATAAACCATAACCAGCCATAGAACAGTCACAGGCGTTTTTTTAGAAAGCTGTGCACATGCTTATCGCATTATATTATATATAGAGGCCATTGACTATAATTAAATGCTTCTGTGTGGAAAATCCAACAATTCAACAAATGGTTTTTAAAATATAATCACAAATATACAGAGATATTTTGATGTATTATAAATTTACTGATATAGTAACTCATTAGTTGATGTTTACTGTATTGTAACACAAAAAATTGGCAACAAGTGCAAGCAGCGCAGTAGCAGCGCAGTCGACGTTGGCAGAATAGCAACAGATGGCCGAATGCCAGCCACACACACCCACAGATGCAAAAACACACACACACACCAGTGCAGAACGTGAGAAATGTGCGAGAATACTAAGAATAAAAAAGAAAAATCAAGAAGAAGCAGAAGGAATGGGAAAATTGTGTTGTTTATTTTTACACGTACGAAACTAAAATGGGTTAATAGTGGGAAATGTGTGCGCTTTCCCTCTTCCCCGTCCCTCCCTCTTCCCCTCTCGCTCTCTTCCCTTACATATACACATACATATGTACATCACTATCTCGCTCTGTCACAGCAAGTGGTTCAGGTACAGTGTTAGAAAATAAAAAAATATCAGAGTCAAAAAGCGGTAATATCACAGAAAACCTGTTTGACCGGATGGTCAAGCACGTTGAGAATATTAACCAAAACGAAATGGAAACAAACTATAGAGGAAAAAAAAGAAGAAATTTACTCAACTGTGCCGGCCAAGCATTACGTAATTTTACCGGACAATATTTAACAGTTTTTTCATAAAATTTTATGAGAATTTGTTAGTGTCCCACAGATTTCCATTTCAGCCGCCATCTACAAGCGACAATTGTTACTACGGTAGTTATAATGCTTAGCAATCAAATTGTTAATTGGAAAAAAACTAACTATTTGATTTCATCAGTCGTAGCCTGCACATACAATCTACATATTTAAATATGCCACAAAGATTTCGATTTCATAACTCGAAAGTCTATGGTAATTTTGTAATTACGAAAGATATTTATTACAATGCAAACAGCGTGGGCATAAAACGGAAATTGCTGTCCAATTTTTATATTTTATCTTAGGCATGTAATAAGCAAAAATTACTAGTATTTTTTCATTCTACTTTTAATTCATAATAATTTTGTTATGCTCGCTGGTTTGTGTTGGTTTCAATGCACTGAGAAAAAGTGTGCACACTTGGGATTTGCAAATTAGAGTATTTGATTGTTATCTTCATAAAGATATCCCTAGACATTTGAATAGATATAAAAGTGATGTTCGAGAGAACTTTTTATTTACATTTCTTTTTTTGGTTCAATCGTTTTGTTTATTTACAGTGTATTAAATCCAAATTCAGGCCGCATAAATTATATTCACATTAGACATTTTTCTGCGTTTGCATTACATCAGGCGTGCGCCCGATTTTCTATTACTTTTTTCGTATCTGGGTGCATACTTTTTTTGTGTGGTGCATTCTATCTATATATCCACATCTATATCTATCTATACGCCTCCGTGATTCAGCATGACATACTTTTATTGTTGTCATTGCCCGATGTCTGATGTCGCATTTTCTGTCGCTACTTTGCTGCTGTGAAAATGTGGTTGTTGTTGCAGCATCAAATGCATAATGCAGCTATTTATAGGTATTACAATAATTTAATGATTCAATAATTAAAGTAACAAGTGACAAAACTCCAAATAATTAAAGACAGAGTAATAGTTTTTATGCACGTTTATATTTAGAAAGTGTTCAATAAATACTTTGTTTAATTTTTCCCCTTCAATGCTTATCTTTAACTGAATTTTATTTTTATATTTTAGCTGCCATCCTAATACTTTATTCAAATGAGTCAGAATTTACTAGGAATATTTCAATTGATTGTATTAAATATATGTTGCAGACACATTTTCTCATTGGGCAGAAAACAGAACCAACTGACTGACACATAGAAAGATGAATAATCTATTCGAAATGAAAACCAAAAAACTGAAATCAAGAAACGTGTTTTTCATTCATTTATCAATTCATTAGTGTTACAAAGTTTCCCCTTAGGGAAATATATGTACGATTATATCCGCGTATTACTTTCCCTTTTTCTTTGTCTTTCTTCAGTCTTTCAAATGAAACTATTTACATATTGTTTGTGCCTCGCATTTTCTTCTTGTTTTTGGGGCAGTCTGGGGTTAAGCAGTTCAATTGAAACGGGTTTAAGCTCAGTTATTTAAACGTCTCAATTCCCTTTTGTCACCACTTTAAACATTTAAAAAGTATTAAGTATTCTTTAAACTGCCCTTGAATTTGTAAGGTTTTAGGCTTACCAGTATAGGAAAAAAGGAGAAAAAACTTAGGCTGTTTGGTTTTCAAAAGTCGTTTGCTTAAACTTTGAAGAAAAACTAGTTTTGTCAGTTTTTTCTTTATGTTTATGCATGTGTGGGAGCCATGACAGTCATATTACCTCTAAAGCAGACAAACACTTCGCTTCTCTTTTGTTTGATGCTTTGAAAAATGCCACAAAACTGAAGCAAAGCTGTTCAATTGCATCATGTGATATGGAAATTTAATAAAATAAATAATTTGTATTTAAACCATTGTTATTCCCAGTTTAACAAAGCCTTAATTAGAATATTATCCCTTATCCTTGTAACCCAGAATATATTCCACATACGCAGTGTTGTAGCTGCTGGAAGATAAACAGAGATAAAAATAAGAAGAATGAGTGGAGTTGAGGGCTCATTGATTTTTCACACCACGTTGCACAAAGTCCTTCAAAGCTGTCGCTACTAGTTCATGTCCTTGAATGTTATTTTCCTTCATTCCTCCACTTGGGTCACCCTCTCATTTCCCAACTCCCCTCGTTAATTTTGTTATTTTAGCTTCATGTTTTCCTAATGATTTTGTCTCGTCAGTTTGGCGCCAGCTTTGCCTCTACCACCCCCAAAAAAAAAGAAAAACAAAATCAAGGGAAAAGGCAAACAGAATAAAGGGAAAAACTGCAACTGAACAATTTAGTTCTTAAGTAGTCCGATTAAAATCCGGAAATTGCAACCCCAAAAGTGATGGAGTCATCAAATGACGTGGTGAAAGATCGAGTACGGTGAAACCTACTTAAGAGAAACGCAAATTATATTCTTAGGAGCAATTCTTATATCGAATTATGTTGCCATGAATTTTTTAAAAGCATGGTCACACTGCTCATGCTCTGAAAATCAGCGGCTTAACATAGCCAAGTTCGACTGTACTTCCCTTTTGCTCTCTTCGAAAGCATGATTCATGCGTATCAATCAAACTTTTTGGGCAAAGGGCGAAAACTGGAAGAGGGGTGAAAGGTTGTAGTGGGCGGTGGGAGTCAACTGATGACGACACGTTCCATTGTTGTTGTCTCGACTTGCCATTTTGTCATTTATTGGGCTTCTTCGGCTCGTTCTTTTCATTTTTTTTGGCTATTGCGCATATGATGAATTAAGGAATAATCGTGGAAAGCGAAGAAGGGTGTTGGAATCGAAGGGAATCTTAGCATATTTAATGCAGCCGAATTGAAGAAAATCGATGAACTGCGACAGCGGAAGGAATAAGACGTAACGAGCAAATAGAGTATGGCTTCCTATATCATTTGTATTGCTCGGGAGGGTGGAAAGTAAATGGAGATATTATTTATTTACCGAACCCAATATGACTCATTGTTTGGGGGTAATAAGTGCTGTACTTAGAAGATTGATTATTAAATCCTCTTGAAGCTCTTAATTGTATTACAAAAGTGAAGACAT